ATTAACCTCTGTCTCTCTTCCACAGCATGTCTTTATCCTGTCTTCCTTTTCTCACCCCAACCAATCACAGCAGATGGCCCCGCCCCTCCCTGAGCCTGGTTCTGCCGGAGGTTTCTTCCTGTTCAAAGGGAGTTTTTCCTTCCCACTGTCGCCAAAGGGCCGCTCATACAACGGTCAGCCGTTTTACAGATAGAAAACTAGCTTTGCTCCGACAGCCATAAGTCAACATAAATGAGGCATTTACATAAGTCAGCGGTGCTCTCCTCACCTCCATGATCTTCATCAAAGCGCGTTTCCAGCTGCTTATGTCTCCTCCTGTCCTCTTTCATCTCCTTCTCCTGCAGCTTACGAGCGATGGCCTGCAACAAAACAACGCAACAGTAAGCACGTCGTCCCGCATCAATATAGAAATGTCCCACTTAGACAAAGGTCATATTTCTTTGGGTGCACGTACAGTAGCTGGCTTCTCAGGCCAACTAGCACATGCTTCGTACACCTTATGGAGCACATAGGAGGCGATCTGACCCAAGTTAGCTCACTCTGACTAATCTAACACAAACAGTGTTGCTGATTGGGAAACAGAATCTAGGATTTCTCAGCTTTCCCATTTATCAACAATGTCATTGTAATGTTTAAAAAAAAAGAAAAAAAAAGGTCCCAATTACTTAAAAAAATAAAATAAAATAAAATAAAAGTGGAAACAAAGGCGCAATGATTGGAAAAGAATGACCCGCCCAAAACAGGAAGACTAGAAACAACTGAGGGGTAGAAACCAGCAGCACTGCCCTCAGGTCCACTTCCTACCGCATCTTTCTCTTCTTGCTGTCGCTGTCGCTCTGCCTGTCGGACCAGTTCCTCCTGAATCTCCTGGGCGATCTCGTTATCTTGCCGCTCGCTGGGGTTCACATGTGTTGTAAGCATGTACGAAGAGAAGAAGCGGGAAAATGTTACAGCAGGGATGTAATGGAAGGACATTTTTAAATTCACAGCTTTACTTAAAGATGCATATTTACACTGACACATTTGTTAAATAAGCCTTATTACACTTTTCAAGTCTCAATTATTCTGACGACAAACTCACACAGTGGTGCTGAAACCGGCTCTGGTACTACACACGTTAGATTGTTGTGTATATAAAGGTTTAAAAGCCTCACTGACTTCAACACTGTGAAAATGATGCACTTTTTTGTCACTTACAGTTTTCAGTAATTCTGTTTCATAAGGGGAGTCAACACCCGCACCCTCAGCTTTGAAGTCATCCAGCACGTTGTGAATGATGGTCAGCGCACCGCAGGCTGACCATCTTAGCTCACTGCAGGGTTGATCTCACTAGCGCCTTGGCTCACGCTCATCTTTGAAGCTGCACGATTTAGTCAAAAACACCATCTGCCTGCAGGGCTGGTGTGTGAAAATCCTTACAGTGTGTGCAGACGCACCTGAGTGTGAAATCTTACTAACAGAAGGAGGAGCTTATACAACCCACACCGTACCTGGATTTGACCCGAGTGGTTAACGGCTTAGGATGAATTAAAGTGGCACATGTAAACAAACTGCTGCACCTGAGCGTCTTGAAACAGTACGTGCTGAGAAAGAAGTGATGCTGTTTAGTCCGGTGTCTAAGTGGCGAGTGTGGGATAGACGGTGAGCTTGGAACAAGACCGGCAGCACCGGCCTGCATGCGTCGGTGAGGCATCTGGCACCCAGGGAGTGCAATCCCTCTACTCGAGCCCTGCATGTTTATGTGTGTTTAAAATAAGTGGGTTCTGCGAGTCAGCGCTTTTATGTTGATTAAAACTGCAGAGCACAGAAAGACTCCAAGTGCCTTTTTGCACACTTGGGATGCAACTGCTGCTTTGGGCTGAAACAGAGACAACAGAGCTCTCTGCTATGTTCAGCGGAGCCAGATTTATGTTTCTGCATCAGGCCACTGTGGTTAGTAAGTGTACACGCTGCATTGCTTTGGACATGCAGTTGGAAGCAACCCAAACCCCTCGGGGAATATAATTATACATCAGCGGTGACAAAGACACCACACAGACTCCATAACAACTGAAGAAGATCTGCTTATGCCGTTTGTTTCTGCATGTTTCTAAAGCAGGATAAAGACTGAAAGCATTTTGTAGGTTAGCTTGAGTCTCCTAACACAGATATAACATGTCTTTAGCACAGACCTGTTAGGAAGTCTGTTACATCCTACGCCTAATTGACGCATGGCTCAGCAACATCTGCTCTTAAATAATCTGAAAACCAGCTGGTCAGCAGAACCAGCTCCAAACCTCATGATTGCTCCTTGGCAAAAACAAGATTGAAAGCATACTGAATGACAGGATCTTCTCATTTATAACAATAACAGTGTTAAACCTACTCTGAACAATCACTCACCAGGAGTCACCTAGAGCGCTGCGCTGGCTGACCTCGCTGCTGAAGCACAAATCTGTCTGAGGACGGGGTTTGGGAGTAATTACATGAGATTAGACTAATTGGAAACAGATGCCATCATCAAAGTAACTAATAACACTCACAGCGAGTACTGCTGAGTAATCTGATGGCTTTAAAAGTCCTCGAGGTGCATCGAGTGCTTCATTTCAAAAACCAAACATCCAACCAGCAGATCCTTATTTTTCTACTTGGACAAATGTTGCTCATATGCACAACTATAACCAGGCGCATGCTTTTATGCAACTGCTGACTCTAGTATGACTTTTCATTAGCTCAATGAATAAATGTGCTCCATGGCATTATTGATTTGGACTTTATCTGAGCCATCAGCCACATCTCCAGTAATTCCTGCTCTTCTTACATTTAACAGGTGTGTATGAGGCTGACGTGTGAGGGACACCTACATGGCAACGTTCTCTTTCTGAGTCTTGATCTTGGCCCTCTCATCCTCCTCCTCTTGGAGCTTCTTGGCCACCTGCAGGTCGTTCTGCACCAGACGGCTCTTATAGACATTGGAGGCCAAGTGGCTCTCAACTGTTGACACACACACAGAGACACACACACACACACAGGCTTGACTATCAGTGAGATAACAAATGTTGAACAGCAAAGGTTATTTGCACGTCTACACGTCAGCGTCTGAGGAGCACCAACTACTCTTTAGCTGATCGGCTGAGGACAAGAGAAACGCCGCGGCCGTTTCAGCCTCTGCTATTCAACAGACTGCGCTCTCAGTCGCTGAGGAATGAATGTTGGCGGCTGAGGCGTCGTTCCAAGGTTGTGTGACGGCATGCAGTCGACCATAACAGATGAGAAATCCTGCTTGCTGACGCACTTCTAGCACTTTGTAAGCAGCGCATCACTCACTCACTCAGTTCTGTTCACTTTGTTATTGATCCGGGACAAAATTACATTTGGCAATTTGTACGCGAGGAGCTCCATAAGGTCTGTGTTTGTGATCGGTGGGATGGAAACAGGAAACCATGTCACAGCTGTGCCATCATGATAAAGAGTCGAGGGACTGACATCGATTTTTGGGGGGGTTCTCTTGAATGACGCTGGGATTAATTTTTCACGTGCTGACAGCCCATGAAAAAAAAAAAAACAGTCTGAAGGTATAACTGAAGTCACACCGTAAAATGAAGGACATTTATCCACTGCCATGTTTGCCGTGTCAACAGCAATCTGGATTCATCTTTCAAGGAAACAAAATGGACATTGTGAAATCCGTTCATAAAACACATCCTCTGAAGAGGCCTCGGGCCTTTCAGGAAAAGAAACAACGC